AAAAAAAAAAAAAAAGTTGAGGTTGTTAAATCTTCCTCTCCCCCCCCACCCCCGGTTTTTTGTTGTTGTTGTTGTTGTTGATGTTGTTGTTGTTGCTGTTTGTTTGTTGGATTTCTAGTTTTCTAACAAAAACAAACTGGTGTATTAAAAACAAATATGAAACTAGTAAAGAAGGGCCTGTTATCCTTTAAGAATAGTTCTCATCCTCTTGTCCATTACTACCCAATTAGGAATCCAAGTGAAAAAGACAGAAGAATAGGAATCTAAGATTCTTTTAAATCTTAATAACATGATACCTCAGGGTAGAACTGTGGACCCATCTGGCTAAAAGGTGGGATGAAAAGAACCCGTACCCGTATTTCATTCCAGCCACAGAGAGCAACGCTCAGGCCTCCATGGCAGAGTTATCCTATCACTGGAAAGTCACAGTTGGGAATTTTTATATACTCGACTTTCTTCCTTCCCATTAGCTGAATGAAGATTGGGCAATTCTTGGCCAAGCTCATTTAGAGATGAGTCTGATACTGGGAAATGGGCATATTTACATGTGATTCAAGGCCCACTCCACTCTGGCCCATGACCAATCTAAAAAAGACCACGTTCACAGAGCTTGTCTGTGAGTGTCAGCAATAGCACTATCAAAATATGTGTGTTCCCTGAAGGTGGTGAGACTATGCGGATCATCTGCACAGAGTCAGCCTATTTGTTCAGTACTGCTTCTTTCATGGAGAGAGACAGGCACCACGGTTTTTCTTTTTTCTTTCTGTTTAATTTTCTCAAAAGTAATATGGGTTATCCAAAGCAAAGCAGAAAATTATGTTGGTAGCATCAGCCTGTGAACAGGACCCACCTCAAAGTATCAGAATCAGAAAAGTTGAGATAAATACAATATTTTAGAAGTATGTAAGAAGTGATAAAGGGTGGTTGGCATGGCATGTTTGATCGATTCATTCATTCCTGTGTACCCACATGCCTTGCCCTGTTCATCAAAGGGTTTAAGCTATTGCGACAGAGGAAGGATAGGATTTCTATAAGCACAAAGGGACTTCAAAGGGACCCAGTGCATTGTCTTGCCAGATGAGGACTTCGCTGTAGAGTGACTTGTTCAGGGTCACATACATGGTGGCAAATTGGAACTTGAACTCAGATCTGAATCTTTTCAGAGTTCTTTTAAACATCCTTTTTCTCTTTTTCCTCTCATTGGAAGTACAGTTTTATTTATTTATTAATTTATGCTTGAATCCCCTGCCTCTCTCATTGTCTTCCCCTTCTTTTTCTCTTGACATCTACTTAACCCTTAAAAAAAAATACAAAAATTGTTATCTCTGTTTTGATATGATTTCTGATTTTGACTTCATTTTTAATTGGACTAGGAATTTGTGGTTAAAAACAAAAGAATTCAGGTGAATTACCTTTTCTTATAATGTGACACAACTTTTGGCTTAAGTGGAGGATACATCTCCAAGGGCACTCTGCAAGTCTCAGAGTATGAGGCCTGATCAGGAAGGAGGAGACTATATCCATATATAACCCAAGCAATCATTTACGTCACTCGGTGGCTGTATGAACATGCCCTATTATGGAGACTCACTGCAGGTCTCACTTCAAGATTCAGGGAAATCAGCATTTATTCATTCAACAAATATTTTTAAAACACCTTCTATGTGTTGGTTATTATATAAAGCTACTGTAACGAAAAATACAAAGGCAATATAAAATGGCAGTCTGAAGATAAATCAAATATTTTCCTTTGGTAGAAAGGATATGGATTTGTAGATATTCTTGGTTTTCAAAGCTGCTAAGTTTGTTTCAGGATCCAAATTGTACTTTAAAGGGACAACCTAATAAAAATAATAAATAACTCTTTTGGAGATTGACACTTTAGCATTTTTTGATTCAGTAGTAC